CTAGATGATTGTGCAGTAATATGAAATAATGCTATTAAAAAATAATATGATCATTGGTGCAATAGAAATTGATTTTCTTGGTATACATTTAAAAATATGGATAGTATATTATGCAATCCATATTGCATAAGCATTTGAAGATTTCTCAAATAATCTTTCAAAAAGACAAGTCCAATAGTTCCTTAGAGTAGTGAATTTCTTATAGATCTTGCTCAGATAATCCATCTTTTTAGACAAATGCTAAAGAAAAAACCTCCCAAATGGTCCCAAAAACAAACATAGTCAATAAAAATGCTTAAAGTCAAATCAAAGTCTATTCCAACCCTAAAGATTCCCTCAGAAGGAAAAGAATCTTATAGACTGATACAAGTGATAAATTTTGATCCATTATTCTCTTTGAAGAAAAAGATGGAAAAAAATAGATATGTGGATTCAAAAGTGACAGGTTCAAAGATTCAAAAATTCATTATCACTCTACGTTGAAAGAAATTTTAGTAGTAAAGTATAAATCCAAATATTTGAATATCACATCATTGGTTATCATTTCCTTATGGAACTAGACATGTTAGCCTTTAATCAAATTATGAATTAAAAAAAAAAAAAACAAATGCCTAATGCACAATTGTTAAAACTTTTTTAATGGTTTTCAACGTATTATTTTATTATGAAGCATATAAAAAGAAAGGATAATGTTCTCCCATATATGTTATTTAGACTTTCAAATACTTTGAAGATAACTTTTATCATTGTACTGATGAATCCCTCATCATCCTCCTAGCATATTCCATTTCAGACATCCAAATGAGAAATTTCCCTTAAGATATCCATCAATAAATAGTAAAAAAATCCCTTGATAGTAGAGCAAAAAAACTCATTTATAAATTCCAATCTATTTTCATACGAGCTCATGCTTACCATGGACTTAGACCGATTGGCTTATACCCATAACATTATTTTCTCTATTTTTTTCAAATATCTCACTTAAACTTCCTATACAAGGAAGCTTTTATCCTTTTGTGGTACCTTTGACAAGTGTACACCATTGCCATTGAATTTAATGTGTCAAACCTCCATTGTGAACTTTTCCACTTGAACAAAGAAACCCTTAGGCTCTTAGGTCAACCATAACTTAAGATTTTTTATGAGTGGTTTAAGCTTTTTCACTAATGGCTCTAATACACCATACACATCAAATGTATTTCTCCATATTATAATGTTATTTTCATGTTTTACAAACCATGCTAGATAAATGATGATGATACAATCAACTTTAAGGCATATTCAAATATTTATGCCTACAACCTTTTACTCTCTATATTAAAGACTGTACCTATACCATGAAAAGTTTCTACTTCTACTCAAAAGACTCTATAAAATCAACAAGAAATATATTCCCAAGATTCTTGAAAAATTACCATATTTTAAAAAAGAACTATGGTGATGGTACCCCTACAATACAACTAAGAGTTGCATAGTCATCTCATTAAGTAGATCCCAACATCTTCTTAGACTAATTGGTGGAATGGTTTGTTGCAAAAACTTATGAATTTTGATCTCTTGAGTTTTATAAAATTGATGCAACTTCTTGCAAATCGATATTGGCAAGATCTGATAGGCATCACATGGATAAGCGAAATATTTAGATTAAAGCTTTATGATCAATGGTTGAAACCCTAGGAAAGAGATCCAAAAAAAATTAAAGAAAGATTGTTCGACTGGGATGATCAACACCTGTCCAGACAATACATGATCAATTCAAAGAATGAAGATTCTTTCATATTATCTTCCATTTTTTAGTCCAAGTTATGTATAATTATGTGCAAGTTTGTTCACTTTGTTCAATGTGCAAGTGTCCAAGCTTAAGCTTTTCTACTTTAGCTCCAAGACAAATCATGTCAACTCAAGTCAAATTTGTGTTATGCCAACATCATGTCAACTTTGTGTTAGCATTAACTTTGACAAGATGTTAGCTTTGTGTCAAGTCTACTTTATAGCTGCTATATGTCAAAGTCATATCAACCTTATTAAAGGCACTTTGATAAAAGAAAACGAATCACCTCTTTATTAAAGCTACTTTATTAAAGTTATTTTAGTATTTTGTTTGTATTTTTTTATGGCATAATCATAAACCCCTTAGGTTGTATCATGTCCTATTCATTTATTTTTCCTTTCTATTTAAGCTTGCAACTCCTTCCTAAATATGGCAAAGAGTTTAAAATCATAAAATCACTTGTAAGAACCTATTGTGAAATATAAAAGTATGTGTTTCTAAACTCCCTTTCTTTTGGCTATTCCTTTCCATTCAAGTCTTAGTCTTAGAGATAGATCTTGACTTTTATATCATGATTTGTAGTGATACAAGTTAGTATTACAGTGATACACGTTAGTATGCATTACAATTATCATATTATTATAGATCATTTACATCAAAATTATTGTAAAGTTATAAACAGACCATTGATCTACTTAACCAAAAAAGTCACTATACTAAAGAATACCAAAGTAAGCTACAATAGTGAAAGGCATAGTTTCATAAAAATAAGGCCACCAGCTGGACTACCTTGGTATTATATTTAAACTATTAATTACTTATGTTTGGCATATCCTTAAGGAAAGTAATCGATCTTTATTAGATGATATCATCATTCAACAAATGGGTGAGACCAACAAAGGATGAAACCAAACAACTAACAAAATAAATGAGGTTGAAACTCTTATACCATTTAACTCATTGGTCTCAACCCTTGTTGGTCTCACCTCCTCGTTGAATGGTGATACCATCTAATGAGAATCAATTACCTTTCTGAAGGAGATACCAAATATAAACAGTCCATGGTTTAGGCATAAGATCAAGGTATTCTAGCCAGTATTGGTGTTCAAAACTAAGTGCTCTCCTAGCATGACATCGAGTTGGTGGCTTGACTTTTATGAAATTATGCCTTTCACTATAGTAGTTTACTTGAGTATTTTTTGGTATAGTAACTTTTTTTTGTTAAGTGAACCAATGATTTGGTTACACCTCTATAAGAATTCTGATGTAGAGAATCCATAATACTGTAGCAACTGTAGAGTTTATTAATTTATATTACTGCAAACCATGATATAGAGGTCAAGATTTAACACTAAGATTAAAACCTGAATGGAAGGGAATAACCAAAAGAGAGGGAGTTTAGAAATATATACTTTAGTATTTCACAATAAAGGATTTTTATAACTGATTTTATAATTTTCACAATTGGACTTGGCTAAAATTTTAGGAGATGTATTGAAAGTTAGGTTTTTGATGTATATTTTTGGAATCTTTTTGGTCAAATAGTGAGATAGAGATTTAATTTCAACCTTTTGACACAACAACTTAATTACTAAATAAAATTTAGGTTGTAAATGTTTTCAATTTTAAATTTAGCCCTATTTATAATCCTCGCTGCGATGAATTGTTGGTTTTTTTTAATTTTGTATGAAATAACATTTATTTTTTATGTTGATTAATTGGCTTCACTTATGCTATAAATTAAGGCAACAAAGATGGGTAATCACTTATACTAGCACTAGTGGAGGCCTAAATGATGGGCAAGAATCAAAAGGCTATATAAATAATTAAGCAATTAAACAATTAGATTAGCCACATACCAAAATATGCCTAAATAGCATAAAACCCTAACTATAAATTCGAGTAATTAAGAACAATAGCAGAAAACGTTAAATATAAATTTAAGCAATTAAGAACAATAACAAAAAACCATAAATCAAATATGCCTAAATGAAAAACTGTAGAAAACCCTAAGGCAGAATATGCTCAACTTTGAAAAAAAAAACATAAAACCCACAACCACAAAATGACTGACTATAAACAACAACAAAACCCAAAATATGCGTACATATTATTCACATTACATAGATTTAATAATAAAAAAAAACAACTAACCTTCCAAATTTTCAGACCTTGAATAGAATAAAATCTTGGAGCGTAATCAATTGAACCAAATGTTGGTTACCTTAAAATAGGCTCTTGAATAATGCTGACCTCACAAAAATTAAGAAATGAAATTGAATCAGTGATTGAAATAACTTGTCTGGGTGATTATGGTTAAGGAGGATTTGTTCTGGGTTTGGGGATTTTTTGCTTTTTCTGATTTGAGTTAAACATAGATTTTTTTTCCTAAATAACTTTTCATTTCTTTTTTTTTTCAAAATAGTAATAAAAAAATCTAAATCAGCATGGAATTTGTCTAATTAGTTGATTCATATTCTTTTTATGTATTATTACGACGTGTAACATGCACATCTTATTTTTCGTTGGAATAAATTTTACATTATTATAAATCAATAACATTTGATCTTTATTTGTACAAATTAAAATATTTAATTATGAATTGAGTAATCACCCAAATGTTTGATCATAATTTGAGTATATAACCTATTTTTAATCAAATATTTAGCATTATTGTTTATCTCTCATGAAAAGGTTTATGCTATATGATTTTTTTTTTTTGTATTTAAAATTATCAAAGATTGAAATTTTTGTCAGTAAAAGTATTGTTTACGTAAAATATATTGTTACTTGATGGATGGGGATGCTGATTGTATTTTATTTTCATAAATTGAGATTTAATTTTTAAATGTAAAAAATAAAAAGAAATTAATGAAATAGATTTTAAAAAATAATAAAAAAAGAGAGTACGAATAAGCAAAGAAAATGAAGCGGATGAAATAGTCAATTAGGGTGCATAAAATAAGTAAAAAAAGCAACCAAAAAAAAAACACTAGATGGTTAGAAAAATAAAAAGGAAATATTAGATAATCAAATTTTAAAGCACTGCAATACTTAATTTAATCTCTATTTTTTCAAACAAAAACAATTGACCAAAAAAATAAAAACAAACAGAAAAGAAAAGAAAATTTAAAAAGCGGTCTCGCTCATTCTCCCGCTGCAGCACCGGCCTCTCCCAACGTGACGTGAAAAGTAGAAAAAATTTACTGGTTTGATTGAGAAAATCAAGATGGAGGATTCTGGAGCTATTCTATATCAAATCTCATGCCTCAAGGACATGCTCGATCAGGTACTCTTTTTTCTTCTTTTTTTAATTACAATTTACTGGAATTTCTAATAAAGAATACAACAAATTTGTTATTTAACGAATCATTGGTTAGGTGAATGAAGAAATCGAATCCAACATTCAAATGACGCGAGAGATAGAATCAGAGATCGTCAAGTGCATGGAGTTCGAAGCTGCTCTTTCTATCAGAGAATCCCAGCTTACCAAGTCGCTTTACATTTCTCATTTCGAAATCGATGGCTTGCTCTCTGTCACCGGTATTTTATTTTAGTTCTGTATTTTTACATTTTAATGATTTCTTTGGTTGAAATCTGTTTCTTTGATTAATAGATGATTCAAGAAATTCGCTTAAATTTTTGGAGGAGAAGTTGAGTTGCCTAAGAACGAACCGCGATGAGATGCTAAAAAGGATCGAAAATAAACGGTATCTGTTCATTTATTTATTATTTTCTCCTAAAATTTTCCATTATTCTTTGTCATTAATGAAGTTTTACAAGATTATGCAGTGGTTGTCTGTAAATTTTTTGAAGAATCATGAATCCAGTTAATGTCTCTCATAATTGCCAAGTTTATGCTGGCTCTTCCTGTGCAAGCTGCATTAGTTATTCAATATCTTTATTTTCTTTATGAAATTGCTAATGTAGATACCATTTACATTTTTGTTTTGTTTTTTACAGAGAAGGATTTATCAAACTGTGCTCAGAATTTCAAAGGGAGATTGACAACAGTGAAACCAATGAACTGGTGACTTTGATATCGGAGAAGGAGCTTCTTGAAAAAGAAATTCATCTCTTGGAAAACAAAAATAATGCTTTGAGAAATTCAATGTCGGCATTTGTGGATGAAATTCTTGAAGACCTTTATACTTCAAACGCTGGTAATACTATCTTAATGTTTTCTTATTAATTTCCAATTAGTTGTCTGCAGTACATTTAGAAGCTTCCTAAGCAGAAGCATGTTGTTGCCTTCTATCTGTAGTTTGGATTATATGCTTCTCTTTTCCTTCCGTTTAATTCCCGGAGTTTCTTGTCACTAGTCACATTTTGTTTAATGGCCACAGTTAAAATTCATTTTCGTCTTTAGACTACACCATTGCCACCATATTGAACACTTCTCTCCTATTTTTCTTGGATTAGGAAACCTAGTAAATTAATGAATAGACGAAGTATACATTTCAGCTATAGAGAGTTTAGATAAGAAGCTGGGAACATCACAGATAGATGCAAAATTAACAGATAGACTCCTTCATTGTTGACCAAAATACGTGATGCTTTATTAATTTCCTTGAAGCAATTGGAGAGACTCTAGTCTGTTGCAACTCTGTTACCTTTTACCTTCAATCATTAATGTTCAGGATCTGCTTTTGTCATCATTCATTTTAATTTATAAACTGAGAAACCATTATCCATTTTAAAGATAGATCAGCTTGTAAGCCCAGCTTGAGTGCTGGATACATTCTCCATTTTTCTTTAGCAGCCTATCAATATATTACCCTACGAATCTACAAAGATACCTTCAGCACCATCCTGGCTATTGGTTTGCCTGAGGATGGACTATCTGAGTTGAGTTTAATCACTCTGGCTCAGCTGCCTTCTAGATGATGTTAAGATCAGATATAGACTTATGAACCGGGGGAAGAACCAGATGAAACAATTCCAATGAATGCTGAATTTTATACTAATAAGGGATTCACTCCTGTCAAGGATACCTTCAAAGATACATTTCTTCTTGATTTTGTTATTTGGACCAGTACAAGTGTCTTACATATTACATCTATAGTTCTATCAGCCGGTTAAATCTCCATTTCTCATTGCTTTATCCTCCCTTTCCCACGGGTTCAGATCCTTCCATTACTTTCTAATATATCCATTATCACCGCTCACACGTGCGAGATCCAACCATAAATTGTGCTCCTCACGCATGTGAAATGAGCAAGCCGAACCCCCATTCTGATCGCTAAGAATGAAAGGGAAAAAAAAAAAAAAAACTCTCCCTTCTATGTAAAGTGTGCTTGTATATGAACAGGCACATGCACCAACATGCACACTTCATACATTTTGCAAGGTCAAGGCAAAAAAGAGAATAAGGGTTCCAATGCAAGGACGCAGTGAGTTGAGGAAAAACACCTGGGATAATGTGGTAGGAAACATTTTCATCATTTCAAATTCTTCTTTGCAGGGAGAGGGAAGACATTACTGTAATTTGGTGTATGATAGACGAATGAAATGTTCCTTGGATGTTTATTGGATGCTTGAACATCAATCAAAAGAATATTTCTTGCTGTAAAGATATGTGAAACTATATTCTCTTAATAATTGTCATAGATGTATGATCATTTGATGGACGAAGCAGAAAAAGAAAAGTGTAGTAACTTAGGATGAATTGGGCTTCAAATTCACTGCACGATTTCACTAATATCTGACAAACAGCCATTCACTCTTAAAAGATCGGTGGATTTTTGCAAGATTTCTTTGACAACAGATTAGACTTGTCCCTTTTTTCTGTTTTTTGCTCAGTGCAGCTTTACATGTTGAGATACAGAAAGGGAATCAGGATAATGAGAAACTAAAGAAGGATATTGAAGACTTGAAGAGAACATTTCTTTCAAGTGTCGTAAATTGATGATTATCTACTGTAAGTTCTTTTTTCTTTCAATTCCTTTTATAAAATTGACATCAGTTAATTAGTTCATTCACATTGATTTTCCGACACATAAACCTTGATTTTCCTAAACCTTTTTAGGATTCTTTCATTGTGCCTAAGTAAAATTTTAATCTTTCGGAAAAGTTTCACTCATTGGAGCAACTATTGAAATTTGTCAAAAGTGGGCAATTCTTGGCAGCGCTATATTTTGGCTTTGAGGCTACATAGTGAGATCGAGGAAAGAGAAGGGGGGTGAGTACAGGTGACCACTAGTGCGAGATTGAAAGTTCATATTATTAGATGATGGTTAGAAAGGTTCAGTGGGGCTCAATTTAGCCTTAGGTATGGTGCATATACTATGTTTCTTCCAGGCATGGACCAAACTAAATAAACAATTACAGATGCATGCATATTTTGTTCGGATTCTCTACAATATTTTTGATCTGATCTCTTTGGATGCCTACTTTGTTGAAGTCGAAGCTAAACTTTCCTGGCATCATGTGATTTCGTGAACCGGAGCCGACTGTTTTTTGACTCATATACTGATCTTATCTTGCAATTTGAACAGCAGTTGCTCACATGATTGACTATCGATATACAATTTGTGAGTAAATTGTCTTGAAGTTTGAGACTAGTAATTAAAGCTAGACTCTTTTCAAAATTTTACTACCGTATTGAAACCCATAGAATTAGAAGAGGAGCTATCAAGGTAAACTTCTGCAGCAATGCAGAATTTCTTTTTGATAGGTTGAGAGACAAGCTAGTCAAAGTTTGACGCCAAGGTTTTGTTGCAATACTATCAGAGTACAGACTATGAAACTGTAGTCAGAAAAGGAGAGTTCGCTGATCTCTCTTCAAAGTGATGTGCTCTGAAACTGTTCATCTCTGTCCTATAGGGGAACGGGGCCCGCCTCCCATCCTTACTGAAAATTTTTGGACATCATTATTCAGTAAAGTATTTTGGTTTTGTCACTTTCCACTACGAAATTTCAACTGTTTTAACTTCAGTCGGTAGCTCATATACGGCTTTCTTTGAACGGGTGGGGATACGGAGCACAGTAAAGATCAATGTATTAACTGTGTTTAAACTTAGATGACTTTAGCTTTTGCGTGCTCATGATAAACTAGAAAGGATTTTTTTTTTTTTTCCTTATTATCATAACCACTTTATCTAACAAGAATTATTGAAGTCGACTGTAGAACTTTGACCCAATGGCCAGGTATTCTTGTTCAAGATTTGTGGGAGATTTGGGGTTTGAAAAACCGTCTTTCTTCCTAATTTTGCAATCTTATTAGGGATTTATCTATTGAATGATATGATATTTAATTTTAATTTATTAAGTATTTAATTAAAAATTATTTGACAATAAATAAAAAATATATATTACTTATAACTATTGCATTATAATTAAGGATGATATTCATAAATTATAATTAAAAAACCATTCAAACACTTATTTTATTTATTACAATCAATCAACTCATTCAATATTTATTTACATTTAATTAAGTCTTTATTTGGATTAAATGTTAACGGTTTGTCAACTAAAATAAAATTTTGTATGACATTAATAAAATAAATAAAAATTTATCATGTGATGTAATTAATATATATAAAAATAAAATAAATATTTTTGTCTTTTTTATTTTCTTTGTTTTTCTTTCTCTAAAATTCTTCTAAAGATTTCAATTTATTATAATTTAGAGATTAATTGATTAAATTTTGTTATATGGCTAGTTTTCATTCATTTAAATGTTTAATTGAATCGAAATAAAAAATTAAAAAGTTTGATTAATTATAATATATTATTAAGGATTTAAATTATTTTTGAATTATAATTCAAGGATATTTTTACCCTTTAACTTCTAATTAATCATAATTTAAAATTATATTGAATTCATCCAAATTTTATATAAAGTTCACATTTACTTGTACATAATTTTTTAACATAATTAAATAATTATAATTTTATAATAAAAAATTATAAGTAAAATGTATCATAAAATTATAAAAAATCTAATAATTAACAAATGAAAAACAAAATTAATTTAACAAAGACGTAATTATAAAAAACAAAGACGTAATTATCGAATGACAAACTGATTCAGTATATATAATGGTTATTCAAATGTAACTGTACCCGATTGTTTACTTTATTGGTCGGTGTCATTTCATCGGATATAAAAGCTACTACTATAATAATTGAAATGATTGATCTTTTAGTTATATAAAGGGATAAAAAAGAAACTGTAACTTGAATTGTCAGTGCAAAGGTGGGGAAAGGGCAGTGGGAAACGGCTTTCTCCAGATCTATCAAAGAAAGGAGAAGTGTAGGAAAAGCTCCATCATGGAAAAAAGGGAAAGAAGGCCCAGGCGAGGCCGAGGACAACACCAACAGAAATAGAGGTGATGGTTAAACGAAAGAGAGAATGTGGTTCAAAACAATGTCATAAGCTTAGCTTGTCATCCATGTCACAGACATCACCCATGTCTGTCGTGTGAACTTCACGTGTACAGCTATGTCTTTTCCATTTATGTATGTGCATTGAATTGAACAAAAGCTCACCCTGGGACCTCTTTTATGACCAGAAATATTAACCAAAAAATAAAATAACAAAACAAAACAAAGCACTTGCTTCTTGCCTTGGGGTATAATTAAAAAAAGGCAATTAAGAATTTTCTATCAATAAAAAAGATCATTCAATCCATATATACAACAAAAATCGTTCTTTTTCATTACTTAAACTTTATATATCTTCCCTTTTTTTATTAATTGCTTTCTTGATTTATTAATTTTTAGAGTAAGTTTTTCTGATTTCAATTTTTGTATCAATGAACTCGAACAGGCTGCTTCAGGTACAAGGATTGAGAGGGAAAGCAAAAATTTCTGTGGTTGCTGTGTGATTTAGAAACAGTGTAAGGCTATAAATTAGAAGCTCTATCTTTGTTTTGTGGTCCTCCACCTTTTAAAGTACAGTCCACTCGTGCCAAATAACCCTTGATGATGACGTCTCTGCTCTGCAAGCCTAACTATTTTTTTCATTCCCTATTTTCCCCTCCTTGAGTATATAAATTACTACTGCGGGCTTCTTTTCGTATAGACTTAAAGAAATCAAGAAAAAGAAATGGAAAAAAATATGTGTAAGTGGCTAAGAAATTGGACCAAGAAAATGGCCCTAGGATTGCTTACAGATGTCGCACATATGAAGTTTGTTTGGTTTCTGAACATATTCCACATGCTACGATTGTGTTACTTAGCATGCCAGTGAGGTAGGGTCCAAAGTGCAGTGCCTGGTGAAAAGAGACACATAAACACATCTCTTTTTTGAACCACATTTGGTCACCTTTATTTGGGCCTTGGTGGAGCCTAAACCATTCCTTTTCGTTCCTATAAGAACACACCCTCCCTTCGCTTCTCTTTTCATGCAAACCCAAAAGAAAGAAAAAAAGAAAAGCGTCAATCATTATTCTTTCAAACTTCAAGAATGATCCATCCATCCAATAGAGAGAACTACTGAGAGCAAAAAGGTTCACCGAACTACTCTTGAAGCCAACCAATAAGATTCTAGTAGAAAAAGAAAGCAAATAAATCCCACAATTTTGATAAGAAGAGATGAAGATGAAGAGTTCTACAACGGGAGGGTCTAAGAGGAGGTGTCCATTCAAAGTAAATGGAGGGTTCCTCAGGGAAGAAAGGGGCAGGCTTTACATAATAAGAAGATGTATTATTATGCTTCTCTGCTGGCAGGACTGAAACAATATATATATATATATATGGAGAAATTTGAAGAGAATTCTCTACAGATGCTACTAGGATGTTAATTAGCTACTAGTTTTAGATTTTCTTTTATCATATGTGTATAGCAAATATAAGGATCATCTTTTGTTTTTTTTTTTTTCCTTCACTGCTCTCCTAGGCTTCTCCTACTGCTTGGTATAACAACTCTTTCTTTGAAATTATGGTCAGAATTTTACTTTATGCTTGAAAACTTGATTCAGTGCATGAATGAATCCGAATTTCTAAGTTTTATCTTTGATCCGTTTTCTTTTACTTGTTTCATGGTTAGGATGATTTTATTTCTTTCGACTCCTCATAATAGTTATAGAGATTTGCTTCTCAGCATAAATTTTCAACTTCTTGGCTGCCTGTGAAAGAAGGAACTCAACCTTTTTTTTGGGTCAAAATCTTATCATCTTACACGTCTTGTCCAATGAATTAGGGGGAAAAAGAAGTAATCATATCTTATAGTTAAGTATTTCTCTTTGCTCTCTCTCTTTTCCATTTTTTTAATTGTTTTTGTTTCTAATTTTTAATTTTTTTTTCTGGTGATTACTTGAATTTCAGTATTCCGCAATAGAGCACTGGGACTTGAGATCAGATGCAGGCTGGTAATTACATCAACTCAAATATTATTCACTTAAGAAATGCAAATTGGAAACTTAACTGATGTGTTACAGTTTTGTTTCATTTCTTCTTTGAAAGAGGTTTCGACTTTCATGCTTGAATGAAGGGAAGCAAAATCTAATGCTATTTCTTGTGTTAGTGGCTAAGCAGCTCTTAGGAACCAGCACTTCCTCTCTTTCCCTATAAATTATGAACAATGACTATGTTTAAAAAAAAAAATCACTTAATTATTTCACTTTTCTTAAATAAGTTTTTATATTTTTATTTTATTCAAATAAACTCTTCTATTTTGATTTGTATCCAAATAAATTTTTATTTTAAATAAAAAATATTTATGATATGGATTTATTTAAATACAAATTAAAATTTTAAATGCTTATTTAAATACAAATTAAAAGTTAAAGATTTATTTAAGTGTAACACATAAAAACTTAAGTACTTAACTAATTAAAAGGGTTAAAACTAATTTCTCAGATTTCTTTAAGTTAGATTTTTTGTTATCTCTTAGATTACGATTGAAGTTTGAACTTAAAACCCTTAAAGTCAATTTCAGTACCACTAAAACAACAGCATGCTTTTGAGTTCTACTTTAGCTATTTGTTGCTTATTTTCATTTTTCTCCTTTATTTAATTTGTATATATGAAGAAAAATCAAGAGATGTTGTAGGGCTCCTTACTGATGATGAAGGATTAAAGGAAACGAAAAAAAAAAAAATGCATCTCCAAAACTTGGGTGGAAGCATAATTAAGTGGCTGATTCAACACAGAGAGAGTGGATATAATAAAAGGAAATCTGGAATTACACAATTAAATCAAAAGGAAATTGTGGGATTATATAATCAAAAGTGTAATCATTAATGAGATCGATCAAACTATTAATCCTCACCCGTGCTCTCATAAAGAATCTATAAAAGTAGATTTTGTTGACTACATGCATGTGAGAGAATATAATTTCTTTCCTTTTTGTCTTGACTCTTTGAGAGTATTTTGTCCTTTGCATTTTTTTCCTTTTTCTTTTTCTTTTAAAATTTTTATGCATATGAAAATCAAATTTAATTACCAGAGAATGGTAAAATCTGAGTAAACCCAACCAACTTTAAAATGATTTGAATAGAAGTTTATTTAAATTCAATACAATTCAAACTTAAAATTAACTCAAACTCTAATTCAACAATCAACAACCTAAAATATTGTATATATAGCCGAAATATATTTTCTAAAATGTTTTAAGTGTCTTTTACAAAGTACAAAGGTTTGAAACATGAGCTTACATTTGTTTTAAATAAATAAAATTTGGAAGTATAAAAATAAATTTTGAAATGAAATTAACAAGAAAAGTCTATTGTTTTTAGGATGTTAATCACTGCCCTTTTCTGTTTACATTCTGTTGGAAATTTTGCATAAGAGCAATCAAATGTCCTAAGATGGGCAATCGAATACCCTATAGGATCATGTTTTGTGTGAAAATTTACCTATGATATTTGAATGCCATAGCTCTACCGTTTGAATTCCCATATTGAAAGTTCAAAAATTTTCTACTTTAGATACAATGCTTCATTTTAAAAATTGGTGATTCTTCACTTAAGACATGTTTTTTCGTATAAACAGGTGTAAGTATTATATTATGGAGATAACGTTTTCAAAATTTCGTACACCACAGTAGAAAAACTACTATCCTATGGAAAGTTTCCTGAATTGTTGTACCTAATAACATGCATTAATCACTTCCCACCAAAATTTAACAAAGTTTTAATACAACACAAAATGCTTAAATCGAAAATTTAGTTGTCAAGTCAATATAACCTCGTTTTGTAATAAAATTTACTGTAGAGTAAACTATGCACACTTGTGGTCCTCTCATGTTGCCATTTGCTTAATCTTTTGTCACGAGTTAAGATTTAAGTTTCAAACTCACGTGATTTTGAGACTCGGATATTTATTCATCTGACGTCCCAGATCAACTTAATCATCACGGTTCACACTCTTATGAGGTATTGTTCGCTCTGATTATATTGGTCTCACGATTTTATCTTATAAAAGTTACCTCATAAGGTTAAGGTGATGTGAATCTTTTTATATCCCAGTGACCTTCCTATTATGTTCGATGTGAAATTCATAACTTTTTCTTAGGTCCGTAATATTTTTTCACACCCAACCTCGTGACGCTCTCGTCACGGAGGCTGACCACCCTGCCTACCTTCCTTGAGGTGGTTGACGTGGATAGAATGGTATAGGACTGGTTCTGCTACGACTTATCACGAATCGAAACTCAAGCTCCGAACCCACACGACTCCGGGACCCAGGCATCCATTTATCTGGTGTCTCAAATCAGTCTTCTTGTCACGGTTCACACTCTTGTGAGGTATTATCCGTTTTAATCTCTTTGACCTCACGATTTTATCTTACAAAAGATATTTCATAAGATTAAGATGGTATAAACCTTTTTATATTTTAATGACTCTTCTATTATGTTCGATGTGAAATTCAAGACTCTTTGTTAAACTCGTTGAACTTTAACAAGGTTCAAGTGCCACTTCATTTAATGACACCAAACTTAGTCAGACGTCTGCTATTTATCAATACTATAAATAATGAAATGGTTGGACGCACGTCAAAAGATCATGTGGTAAAGAACAGAGATGTTGCAATTGAAAGTCCCACATGAAAAAGACACGTTATATAAGGATAAGATTTAAATTGTCATTCTACTTGTGCTTAAGACGAGAAATCAAATTTATCACTTATTTTTGAACCAATGCAATTTTAACATTGTATATATCTACTTAGTTCAAAAATGATTAAAAGTTAAAATATAATTCCATTATTTTTTTTTCACAAAAAAATTCTTTTACCATGTTTTTATTATTTTTTAACTAAATTAAATAATAATATGATAAAATTGCACAATTCAAAAAATGAATTGGTAAATTAGATTTATCACTTTAAAGTAAAATGATAAATTCAAACTTTATTCTCCATATAATGTATCCAATTAATTAATACATAAACTAGATGTACAGTTGTCACTTAAAAGTTTGCCACCAACATGAATTTTTGTTGTAAGACTTACAGAGGTTTCAGTTTGTCTCAAAACTTCTAATTATATCAATAAAATCTTTTGGCTAGCATATTCATTTATCCATTTATTAAGACTTCACTTGACGGATAAATTTTAGACTAAAACCACAAAAAAAAAATCCATAAACTTCATTATTTTATTTAAATAAATCTTTATAGTTTTATGCAACTAAATAAGCTCTTAAACTTTAATTTGCACACAAATAAACCTTTAACCTTTAATTTATATCCACATAAGTATTCAACTTTTAATTTATACCTTAATAAACTCTTAACATAAATCAATTTTTCATTTGAAATAAGAATTTATTTGGATCTATATAAAAAGATAAGTGTTTATTTGAGTACAATAAAAATATAAGGGTTTATTTAAGAAAAATAAAATAATTAAAGGGTTTTTTTATATTTTAATAATAAAAATATAAGCTCATGTCATATTAAGTGTATTAATTTTATTAATGAGAAATTTATCAACTAATAGATTGGCTTTAGAATTTTATCACTATAAATAAGAAGTTTGAGAACAAAATTGTTACTTTTGAAACTTTGACAGTGAAATAATATTTGGAGCAAACTTTTGAAGATAAAAAGTTCAATACCCTTAATTAGTCAATGACAAAATTTCTTAGATCCAACACACACACACACACACACAAGTACTTGAAATTTTGGAATGTAGGTTCAATTGCTTTATGTAGGTGAATGCATTTTCTTACTTAAAAGGTCAAGTTCAAGTTTATTTATTTCGATAATAATATCTCATCTTCAACTTTGGCAAGTTGTAAGTTTGGTTTGAGTCCACTTTATGGGGAAAAAAATAAAGTAAAAAACCATAAAATAATATATATATATATATATATTTATATATACAAAATTGGAATAATCGAGTAAAATTAATATAAAAATAATTGAAATATTTAAACTGAGAAAATTTTGTTATTGGAAGTGAGGATGCGGATAAGGATGATAGGACTCCAACTCAAAACTATTTGTTTCACTAGTTATGAACGCTCTACTTGCCACCAAATCAATAGGCTAGGTGGGGTATTCGTTTTCAAGTCAAACAGAAGATCAAACACGACGTGACATTCACATGTGCATATATCATCCAAAATTACTTTGATGTAATTGATGTGTGATTGAAGAAAAAATTAAACTTTAAAATTAAAATGCAAAACTCAATTAAGGTTGACATTTTTTAATTAAAGGATAATATCTTAAATAGCTTTGTATTATTGTGATTTATCGAATTTAATATCTAAACTAAAAAGATTACTAAATAGATATCTAAATTATAAAATCGTATATTAATTTAATTTAAGAGTTAATTCCATTAGTTTAGATATTGATTTGATTATTTTAATCAATAAAAATTTATTATGTGAACAAAAAATGACATGTAAGCATTATATAAATTGTTTATATGGTTAAAAAATCTAAAAAAAATCGAATTAATAAAAATAAATTAAATTCCAAACAAATTAATTCTCTTTTAAACAGTAAAACCTAAATTTAATACCTCAACCGTAAATCCCAAATTTAAAGAACCCTATAAGACATGTAAGCATTATCTTTTTCTTGTTTTCTTTTACCATCAATGTTGGGTTAAGATTTGTTTCTAGCTAGACAAAGTTCATAGTGTGCGAAGTGGAGAGACAAGAGGTGGCTTGTTGGGAAGGAGGGCAACATGGAACAGAACTTTAACATTTGTTGGCAAAATATTTTACTACAACAAAATTTCTCCACACAACTGTGCATCTGGTCCTATCTTCCTTGTTCAACTGGGCTAGCTCCAAAGGGCAATAGTAATTTTGTTGTGTTATATCCACACGTGCGCCTCTCTGAATTTATACTTAGCACTTTTTGTTTCTTTAATTTCAGGTGCTCTCATTTATATCTTGATCTAAAATTTTGAGTTTTGAGCTTTTTTTTTTTTTCTTTTTATTGGTTTTAAGGATATTAAACCCTCTCTTTATTTGTTTGCTTAAATTTGTTTAAACAGGTGCACTTTTTGTTTCCTTGTTTGGTTAAACAGAAAACAAGAAAAACAAGAAAACAAGAATTT